CCGAGTGCCGGCCACGCAACGCGCGCGCGGGTCCCGCCCGAGGAGGTGGACGAGGCCGTGCGGCTCGCGGCAGAGGGCACGCTCTTCACCGTCACCTACTACCCGCGCCAGGGCACCGGGGAGTTCGTCGTGCCCAAGCAGGAGGTGGAGGACGCGCTGATCGGCGCCTGGGCACCCGGCGTGCAGGTGCGCATGAAGTTCCTCGACGCCGAGGAGCGCCGCTCCGAGTGGAACAACGGCGCCGTCAAGGCCGTCGAGTCGTCGACCCCTCCATCTGGCGCATGCTCGAGGTACATCTTGCATCCATACATCCATCTCTCTAGTCAATCCATCCGATCATTGCGATAATTGTCTGTTTGATCGATGGAGTCCACCTCTGTTTGGTTCAGGCATGCTTGCTTCAATTTGTTTGCTCTGCCATTCAGTATGGAGTAGCCCTAGATGTTCACCATGCTAGCGACTCGCCCGTCAAACCGCAGAGATCCCTCGCATGGAGTAGCCCTAGATGTTCTAGGCCACCACCGCCAATCCGGCGAGCCTACGCTGCGACCGTTCATGGCGCCTGGGGGCAATGAACTGGCATTGCGGTCATGGAGGGGAGGCTCAGGAGTAGGGCGACGCTGGCTGGTAGAGGAATTCGAAGGAGCCAGGCCGCCCTGGCGATCACCTTGACTGCTGCGTCGTGCACCAACTAACGGCAGTGTCCGCGGTGGTGAAGAAGCATACACGGCGAGGCTAATATAAGGTATACCTTGGAGGACGCAACCCCCTGTCGTCAACACGTCATGGCCCGAATCGCCTGGAGGCCGCAACCCCTGCCTGTGCTCCAGATTCACAGTGTGTCCTGACAAACGAGGCGGCAATCTCTAAATTGAATAATTGATCGTTCATCCCGTTCTACCGCTGATTCGCTCGGCGCCACCTCTGTGGTACTCTTGACTGCTTTCACATATCCCCACAAGGTATAGTACGTGGTATCCCACCCCATGTCATGTAATTGCATTCTGAAGCAATTAGTACATAGGAGTCAACCCATAGGACAAGGAGGACCCGGTTATAGATTTTTTTAAGGGAGGGTGTGCCGTGTACGGGAGCATATCTGTTAGTTTGTATCCTATGTTTAACAATTTCGGAAATTTTTGTAGTATAAAAATCTCAATAGTGAGGATACATTGCTGAACGTGATGTGATGTATATGATTTAGTTTATCATTAGTTGTTCTCCTTGCCACTACCCACTAAATTTCAGATCTGCCTTCAACTTCTAATGGTAAATATTCAATTAATTTTAGTCGGCTCAAAAGGCTTCAAGCTTCTTTGTCCATTATTTCCTGTTCAACTTTAAGAAACCTTTCAGTTTGTTTTGTTTCACTTACTTTACTATTCCTTCTTGATAAACTCACCAGGTACTGTATATATCTCTCCCTGGTCACAGTGGGATGGCTAATAATTTCATGCACAACACCACAATAGCAGATATTCGGAGATTTGGAATTGTTTTGCTGTTTTCTTTCTATGAAAGATAAGCATGAATGCAGCGATGGCAAACCTAAACATCGTTGCCAATTTTCTCTTTCACAGAATAGGATGAATGTCACGGCAGCAGCTGCAAACTCCAAGAACGTTATTGTCATGGGGGGCACCAGTTTCAATTGTGTCTTCTTGCAAGCTCCTTGTCAATGAGAGGCACAAGGTCAGTCTGTACTCTGTAGATACATTTGTGATGTAGTGATTCTTCTCTTATGCTAAATAATACATTGATTATGTCCTATGATTCTCTAGGAGCACTAAGAAATTATATGTTTTCTTAAGGGTCACATCACACGAGGAAACTCTCACCCACAGCCATGAAATTTCCAATTGAATCAAATGCAAATTATACATAGTGCTCTTCCAAGCCACAATTCAACCCCCACTTCTTGCCGCTCGCCTTCAGCCCCAGCAAGACGATTAAATATTTGACCTCAATCCATATATCAGATCTCGTGCTCAAGAAGACGATGGTGAAGAGCATGATAATGATCCAAATGTATGTTAACAATTGGTCCAGTTTAGAAATCTAAACAGGAAAGCTGAGGGGCCATTTAGTTTATACCCAGGCCCACCTCGCCAGAGATGGTGCGTGCAGATATTTTGGCGAACGATTCCCCTACCCCTGTTTCGCCTGTCCGTGGACGCAGAATGAAAGCAGTGACCAGTTTTTTTGGCATGACTCCTATAATTGGGTTTCAATCCAAACAGTACCCAGTCAATGCCGAACTTCTTACTCAATATGACTCCTCAGGTTTCATTTGTTGGGGAGGCAGACAGAAACAACGATAACTAATATTTTTTTCTTTTCACTCACAATAATATTGTCATCAGATACAATTGCTATCAGGTTAGTGTTTTGTGAGCTTTCATCATGTCCCTTTATGGAACTTTTAAATGTTGATTATCATTTATCACTGCTGCTACTTTATGCAGAGTATTGATGTTTGTACTGAAGGAAGTCCAAAAGTCTTATCAATGCAGGCAAGACACTTGATATGACAAATTTCAAGTGGAAACGAACAAATATTATGCTTGTTCATCGCTTGATGTCTACCCTGACTATTCTTTCATTTGAAACTCGCTAATAACAATTTTTTACTCTGCTGTTAAAACTGATGTTGCTAATTCGGTTCATAAAATTATTGTCGTTATAATTTGGCGATGTAATACTTTTCCATAAGCCAATATCAAATTATGAAGCATTGCTATAACTTCCAACGTGGTGCTAGAGCATTATATATGAATGTACTTAGTTAAAGGCCATCCAAAGATACACATTTGCAAGGAAACTGCACAATGTCAATACGAATATGAAAGATAATTGGATAAATAACTTTGAAATCTGATCTTTTTCTGATGATAACACAACTTACGCTGATTTCCATAATGAACAGAGAATAGAAAAAGTGTTGTTGCGGCCATGACTTGAATAACAAACCAAATTCACAAGGTCGGTACTGGACTATTGGTAATATATATTCTTTTGGCAGGGATTTAGAAATACTTCACATCTCTTTTTAGTGGATTTTGTGATAGGAGTGAGAGTTGAGAGTGAGCGGGTTGGAGGCTGTGGTTGATTTGTTCAGTTATGAACGTGAGCGGAATATTTTCCCTACTTCAGAAAAAATGGCAAATTGGATAAGGCAGTCATATTTTTTTGATCAGGTCATACAATATATTTTTTAGGATAGAAGGGTAAATGCATTAGTTTGTTGTTTTAATAGTTAATAACAGACGCGGTGGCATATTAGTTGCATCCCCAACAACAGCCATCATATTTTTGTTTTGTGGTAATGCATGACATTCAACTGTATGTTACAACATGGCAATGCCTCATGAGACATCGAATTTGCCTTCTTGGCTTGGGGTCGTCATGGGCGGCGCACGCCTCCTCCGCCTTGATGGTCGTGGCGGATCGGCACGAACACGGGAGGAGGGGATCATGACGGAGAGCAAGCGGTTGGTGGGGGCACTCCTCCTTGGTGGTCCGTGGGGAAGTATGGTATGAAGGGAAGAGGGCGCCAGGACGAAAGTGAGGTGAGTCTCATCTGGTTATAAAGTAGAGGGCTCCAGCGAAAAATATTAGGCTATGGTGGGAAACTGAGCTGGAAGGAGAGAGGGTCCCACATGAGGGAAGGGTGCCTCATGGTGTGGGGTTTTGTGTTGTGTTGGGACCGCGTGTTGGGAATAACATGGCGGATAGTTCGGACAACGACATTGCTCTCCATATATGAGATGGATTTGGGGCAGCCTGTACTAAACCCGGGCAAACGTCGGGCCGGGCCGGGTTTCGGGCCGGGCTTGTAAAAGCCCGACCTTCATTTCTCAAGCCCGAGCCCAGCCCGAAGCCTGAAATACTCCCTGTTTTCAAGCCCAAGCCCGGCCCAAAATCAAGCCCGAAGCTCGAAAGCCCGGCCCGAATGCTGTTTTTTAGTACGCGCACGTGCAAGCCCGGCCCGAAGCCCGAAAGCCCGGCCTGAAATACAGAAAAATTGAAGCTCGAGCCCGGCCCGAATTATCTTTCGGGCTGCAAAACAAAGCCCGAGCCTGGCCTGAATGTCAAGCCCGACCTGGCCCGGCCCGGGTTTTTCGGGCCGGGCTGCCCATGCCCGGGTTTAGCCCGGACTGTCCAGTCGGTTGAGTTTTGAGATCGTTGGGCGCCCGTTTGAAGTCCAAACATGCCCGGACGTACGAGGAAGAAATGAGTTTCGACCATAGAGGTGATCTTAATCATTTATTTGATTCATTTATATACATTATAGCCCGTAGCAACGCACGGGCATTCTACTAGTATAAAATTATAGGGTAGTATGTGAGGCACAAAATATTTTTTGGCTTCATTGCCGTTTGGCTCCCCTATGCCTAAATCATGGTTCCGCCCCTGGGCACAGGTGCTTAAAAAAATTCGATTTATTTTTCTAAGCACCTTCCTAAGCATCTATATCGTTGTACAAGGCCTAAAAGGCTAATGCTTGTAAGATTAGCTGCATGCAGCCCACGCCACACAACGGCCGCCGGCGACGGGAACGGTCGGATCTCATCTGGGGTCGTCGCGCGTGTACCCACCCGAGGAGGAAGAAGAGCACGCAGCCGCGGCGCCACGTGCGTCGCCGGCTCGCCGCACCGCAAGCTCGCCGTCGAGCCGCTGGCCCCACGCGGCAGCCAAGCGCCTCCGCCCGCAGAGCCGTCCGGCGCCAGCCCCAGGGTCGAGCGGAGAGGAACCAGGCCCCGCCGCCACCCACACCGACCGGTATTTGCCCGGCGGCGCCTTGGGGCGGCAGCAGGGCAGGGGGACCGGGAGGAGAAGCGAGGGAAGCGGCGGGCTAGGGTTTTCCTCCGCGTCGCTCCCGGGATGGGAGGGGAAACCGCCTCGTGTCTTGCCTCGGTCGGTGTACAACTCGGATGCGCCGGTCCATATAAACCGTCGACGACTGCACACAGCGCGCCTGACCGGGGAAAACACACCCTATGGGCCGAGCTCGGCGTGACCACGGCTCTGCAACGAGCAAGTCTGATGCGGCCGATGGAGCAAAACCGTAAGAGACCTCTAATCTCTCGCGGCTATCATTATGTTTCTTCTTCTTTTGCAAACTAAGTAGGAGTACGTGCGATCTCGCGTGAGGCCTCGCAATGGCGAACCGCCGGCCAGACGTCTCATGATCGTCTTCTCCACTCGTCGGCCGGCGTTGTTGCACGGCGATCAAGATCCTGGTCACTATTACGTATATTAAAGGAATATATATAGTGGTTGGGGGTTTCAACTCAGTCTAATCTACACCTGAAAGCCCTCTAAACGCATAACTGTTTTGGCCAAGCCCAAGTCACAATCCTAAGATGCTCTGATTCCAGTCCCATCGCCAAACCCCAAGTCACACTATTTTTTTACAGTAAGAAAATCGCAAGAGTAGTCGGATAGGGGAGGGGGAGAGAGGCGGGTGGGGTGTGCAGGAGGTTGCCACTATTTCTGCACAGGCTCTAAACAAGGTTCTGTCTTCAAATCTTACTAACTTAATTTTCCAACCTATATATGCAGGCCAACTGGATCTTCTACAACTCATGTGAGGCAGAGTGTTCTGTATTCGGCCCGAAGGGGACCTCGAGGCAGAAAAGGACGACCGTGAGTGTCATTATTGTTAAGAGTTCAGGCTGTATCGCCATTGTTTGCACTCCGTTTTTCATAGAAGAAATAAAACATCTACTACAAGTCTGGATAGCTATTTCAGTATCATTGACCAGTGATCTGCTGCACATGTTCTGATCAGGGTGGAGGAGCATACAGGTGAGGTGAGCAACAGTGAGCTTGGGCATACAAGTGCAGACCTGTCACAGTTTGATGCCCTGACGCTGAATACCACACCTCCTACACTTCAATTATCTGATAGGTATATCATTTTTTTTTGTTCTTCCTTGATTAATTAAGACTTTGTTCGTTGAAATAATAGGTACTGTAATGACCCGGACGTCTGATATGATAAAATCTTGCCCAAGGCGGTTCCACTTTTGTTTTGATTATTTTCCGTATGGCTATATCTGCGAGAAAGTTCCAACTGTATTCGCTTTTTTGTTTTTGCTATTCCTTTCTCATAGAAGAAACAGAATGCCTACAAGTTATCGTTTCTGATATCTTAATCATAAGAGTCATTGACCTATGTTCTGTTGTGGATGTTCTGATCAGGGTCGAGGAGCATTCTACCGAGGTGAGAAGCACTGGGCCTAACGGTACAGGTGCAGACCTGTCAAAAGATGAGGGCATTTCGCTGAATGTCACATCTCCTGCATATGAGTCAACTGATGGGTAATATTTAGTACTACTGTATTTAATTTGGTTTTGTTGAAATGGGAACGCACCAGTTCTCATTGTTTCCATTCAACAAGAATGGAATTCACTGACTGTGAGTTTAAATTGCGATGATCAGGGCTGTGGTGCATGGCAGCAACATGGACATCGGTGTGCCTGATTCTATAATTGAGAAGCAACCAGCTGTTCAGGAAGCATTATCCCCGAGGTAAGAACTTGTCAAGCATGATCGGTATGACATGTATGGCCGTTGATTGTTAATTTGGTTATTTTCTTAAGACATCCATGCCTCAGGTTCCATCAGTGATCAGTCCATCGCTGATCATTTGAGTAGGTCCGTTTGACTGAACCGGAAGACAAGGCTAACTAGTTTTTATGATCTGGATTGAATACAACTTAAACTAAAATAACATACTGCTATCGAGTCGGGCATTCTGGTTCTATTCAATCAAAGATAACTCCTCCAGCAGGATATTCATCATCTTGAGCTCCTCAGTGGTAATGCTAGTATGGCACCATTCCAGTCATATGATGATATTCTGTTTGCTGTTGGTATGTACGGTACCTACACTATGCAAATTTGTTTCCATGTTTTTCTTCCATGCCATCTGGATTGTTGCTCCCTACTCTATGCAAAAAAAATTGCCATGACATCATTATGGTGCTGCATTCTGAGTAATCTTGTTTGGTGCGCCCTGATTCAGGTCAGAAGAAAGGCGGCGGAGAATAAATCAATACCTCGCTGAACATACATATAATGACGTCTTAGAGGCCATGGTTGCTGTGAAAAATGGCTTCTGCAACCCACCCAAAAAGGTTTCCAACCCCAACAAGTCATCGGAAAAGCTTTCCTTGCCTGATTCACCACAGTCTCCGCATCGACTGGATACTCAATCCTCGCAGACAAAAATACAGTAAAGATTCCAATAGTTCGATTGCAGTTTATCATCTTTTCTTGAAGTTTCATTCATAATCTATTATTGATCTTCTTTATGATAACATAATCTACTGTCACTTTCTCATCAAGATTAATTTTAGGAGTGTGTCAATCAAACTTGGTCAATAACCTCACTTAACGGCACTACTAGTAGAACATGCTACATTGTTCTGAAGTTAATAGTTCTTGAATCTTTTGGGGACATTTAGCTTACTACATACTTTTGTATTTTGTGGTGAAGTATCGAATGGTGTTGTAGTGCTTTTTTTTTAATTGCTAGCTAGAAATGGAGCAATGTTCACCGTTGGTCTCTAAACATGCATGCATAGGTGCGTCACATTGCTCCTCGAATTTGAGAACTTCACGTTTGGGTCTCTTAAGAGAAGGTACATCTAAACCCAACACCGCTAGTTGTTGGCGATAAACTGATAATACATAACTTTTGGGTTTATGCAAGCTCAAGTTTGAGGGCAACATGGGCAGGGGATTGCGGAGCCTTTCACATGTCCCTGCATGGCAGTAGCCAATCCATTCCCACCCAACTTTATATGAGAATTTATGTCATGAATTAAAACTGAGGAAAATTAGTCGGAAACTCTTGTATAGTTATTAGAATGTTTTGTTATGTATTTAACTTCATTTGTTAATTTGTTGTCCACATGGAGTCTATGCAATTTTTGTTTGCCAAGTATAAGCTGGTGTCTAATCTTCTGTCAACCCAGTTATACAAGTTCGCATACATACATGGATGCGCAGTTTTCTAGTTCAAGTACCTCAGATGTCCCTGTCATAAGAAGCACCTTCACAACTTATACACCTTACAAGTCCCTATGGTGCACTTTACTCTTACAACTGTACTGTCAGTTAGTCTAATTTCATCATGATTTGTAACAGACATCAATTTTTAACTAATATGTTGTAGGTGTGGAGAATCTACAAAACAAATCATTAAAAACGGGAAACTATGGATGGAGAAGGAAGTCATGAAGGCTTTTAAGAAGTGCATCATAGAAGGGGAGGGATTGAGAGTATGTGTGACTTCCTAATGCCTTTTCTTTTAATCTTTCCTAGTTGGATGCAAGTTTTCTTATGAGGTGTTGTTTCAGGGTGTGAAGTTTGAACTAGACGAGCTTCTGCACCAGTGTTTCAGTGTGGAGACACATGAGAAGATGTTCCACCACTACAACTTCACGGTGAGGATGAAGGAAGCTGGCTCAGACAAGTGGTCATCAACTCTCTATTTTGCGCAAGTGAAGGAAATGTATGGTCGAAAGTTTTATTTCTGCTATCCACTGGATCCAAATGAAGATGGTACTGTATACGCCATTTCTTCTCTCTTCTTTTGTCAAATTTACTCCGTATTCAGCAATCGATATCTAGTGTTCGGCAAAGTAGGTTTAATATGTTGAACTGCATGACTTCTGCTAGGTATCTGTTATGCGTGCAAGAATCAGGGGATGGATGCATTGCGGCACCCTGCCGTTCAGTGGCGGAGCTACATAGGAATAGTTGGGCGGGCCAGGCAAACAAGAGCATATTTTCTTTCAAAATTACAATGAGTCATGCTACTTCATTTGACATGAGTCAGTCCTCAACATATTTTTAACTGGATCAAACAGATGTATACGCACGACAAGGCTGTCGTTCCTTGGCTGTGCGAATGTGCGATGGATGGTGCTGGCCAGCTAGTGGCCGCTGTTGCTTCCCGTGCTGCTGGACTGCTCCTTGAGGTCCATAATTACCGCTCCATGGCTTGCGTTCATGCAAATCTCTCACAGAATGGAGCGTAGAGATGATCATTAGGGGCTTAGATGGTGTCTGCCAGTAGACCAGGTTATGGGCTGCCGATGCATATGAAAGGAAAATCATACATATCCTGGGCGGGCCACGGCCACTTTGGCCTTGCCGTAGCTCCGCCACTGCTGCCGTTCCTATCGGATACGAGACTGGCCAGCCTGATGCGGGACGTCCCTTCGTCGATGACGACTCTGATGATGATTGCAGTATAAAACTAGACAATGACGATTTTGTGTGGGCCTTCGAACAGGTCTTCTGCAAGGGAGTACGCTTCTGAGTACATTTTCTGTTGTGTCTGTACTCTGTACTCTGTAATAGTGAATGGTTTTCATGTTAGAAGAAACGGTGACTACCCTGTGCTTGAGTTGTGCAAACACCTCCAATCGCCACTTGCCAATACTCACTGCGTTGAGAAATGTAGGCGTACTCGGACTACTAAATTGAACTTTGATGGTGGACTTCTCCTGTGGTGCTTTGTTTATGGTTATAAAACTTGCTTCTATGTGAGGCCGGTTTTTTGAAAAATATCAAAATTCGAAAATTTTGGTTTCAAAAAAATCTGAACATTTTTGTACAAGTAAACAAGGATGTGGGGCGTATGTGTGTAAAATTTTAGGATGAAATGTGACCTGTACAAAAAAGACAAATTCATGGTCTCGGAGGATGAACAGTATCATGTGTTAAAAACAACAAATTTGTCTTTTTCTACACAACCCTCATTTCAACGTATTTTGTCCTAAAAATTTACATACTTGTGCAATATGCCTTCATCTATCTCTGTATTGTTTTCAGATTTTTTTGAAATGAAAAAATATGAATTTTCGTGAATTTTGAATTTTCCATTTGAAGGCCTCCATGGAGCTCGGCCTCCAAAAGCAAATTCCGGTAAATGGTATCATATACTCTTTGTCTGGGTTTATCGCCAGTCCGGCCCCTACTCCTGGATGGAGGATATCTCTCCACGGAGGAGGACGGAGATGACAACGACGTGAAGGACGGCATCGCGGGCGATGACTAGCGGCGCCGGCTACTTAGTAGCATAGGTTGAATGGCCACATTTCTTACGTTCAAAATGTTGCTAAACAGCATTTGTAGCGGCTAATTATGTTTTTTTATTTCCCTTATTAAAACATGTGTTTAGTATGTCTAGTTTGAGGTTAAATTACCCCTAGATTTTTTAAGAAACTGACAAAAAAATCAAATAAATGAAAAAAATATAAAGATCACATTATGGCGACTCTGTGTTTGCGCACACTGTCGTAGACTCCATATCCATATGAAGCATGATATATATCATTCGTAGATATGGCGAATCTGCTAGAGTTGCTCTTGCGGTAGCATCTGCCTTTCATGGCTACTAGATAAGCTTTTTGTACGAACTGACTCGCTCCTACCGTGTATTCCTATATTTCTCATGTTCCTATGTTTTCAGAATACTACAAATGGAACACACCCTAAGAATGTCCCCATGTTTTTGGTAAATTAAATTAATATTAATTAAGAGTGCCTAGAATAGTACCCCCTTGCAGTTTGGATTGTTTTGTGCAAAAAACTTGCAAGTGCAAACCCTTATGAAACTTGTAATTGTGACCCCTCTCAAAATTTACGGTTGCGACCCCTCTTCAAAAGTTGCAACTATGCCCCTCCTTGATACCTTCTCATTCAAGATAAGAATCAAAGGAGAGATGGGTTGCTGGGGATTCATCTGCGGCCACACCAAGGGGCCTGCTCCATGCTTCATAAGCCAACGTTTTGATATCCTGTCTTTATCTGATATCCACATTCGGTATCTAAAAAAACATGTCAACTGATTGCAGGAAGGTGCTAGATGCGCAAGAAAATGCTAGCTAGAAACTAAGAAACAATATGAGCTATACTGGTTCGGTGCCAGGTACGTGCAAAGAAAAAACACATATCTAAGTATCAGAAACAATTCGAAGAGTGGTACGCTAGGGAAAAGGCCATCAAAGACTTCTCGAGTTAGACTAGATTCAGATTTGTTCTACATTAAGTTGTATTCAGTCTGAGCAAAATGAGTGAATAAAGTTAGTTTCTCTACAGCTATTGTACTCTGATTTCAATGGTCCCTGCATCGAAACTAGAAAGCATAACAATATATACATGAAAGTACCATTATCCTGAAAAGCGAAAATCATAACAGAGTTTCAGACAACATGGGGTGCTAACTTGACAAATTCAGAATTCTAGACATAATGATATCACTTCAAACATGAAGTTCAGACTTGTTCACAACATCATAGAGCATGCTCAGCATCTGTAATTTGAGCATGCTCAACAAATCCCTCGGGTCTGCTGTAACAATGCAAGTCAACCATCTGAAATGGCATGTATTCTTCGATCATCTTCCGAACTGTGGATTCATTGGTTAGTTCGGCCATGCTCATCCTGCCACCTGTGTTCAACCTCAACCACCCACCTGAGCTCATCCTCGTCCAGCACCTTGACTTAAACATCCTCCGGTAACTTGAGTTGAACCTATTCGTGCCACTAAACTTCCACATGATCATGTCACTTCGCATCACCCTGCTTCGATAATACTAAAGGAAATATGCCCTAGAAGCAATAATAAAGTTATTATTTATTTCCTTATTTCATGATAAATATTTATTATTCATGCTAGAATTGTATTAACCGGAAACTAAGTACATGTGTGAATACATAGACAAAACATAAGTGTCCCTAGTATGCCTCTACTTGACTAGCTCGTTTATCAAAGATGGTTATGTTTCCTAACCATAGACATGTGTTGTAATTTGATGAACGGGATAACATCATTAGGAGAATGATGTGATGGGCAAGACCCATTTGGTAGCTTAGCATTATGATCATTACAGTTTCATTGCTACTGCTTTCTTCATGACTTATACATGTTCCTCAGACTATGAGATTATGCAACTCCCGAATACCGGAGGAACACTTTGTGTGCTATCAAACGTCACAACATAAATGGGTGATTATAAAGATGCTCTACAGGTGTCTCCGAAGGTATTTGTTGGGTTGGCATAGATCGAGATTAGGATTTGTCACTCCGTGTTTCGGAGAGGTATCTCTGGGCCCTCTCGGTAATGTTCATCACTATAAGGCTTGCAAGCAATGTGACTAACAAGTTAGTTGCGGGATGAAGTATTACAGAACGAGTAAAGAGACTTGCCGGTAACGAGATTGAACTAGGTATGATGATATCGACGATCGAATCTCGGGCAAGTAACATACCGATGACAAAGGGAACAACGTATGTTGTTATGCGGTTTGACCAATAAAGATCTTCGTATAATATGTAGGAGCCAATATGAGCATCCAGGTTCCGCTATTGGTTATTGACCAGAGATGTGTCTCGGTCATGTCTGCATAGTTCTCGAACCCGTAGGGTCCGCACGCTTAACGTTTGATGATGATTTGTATTATAAGTTATGTGTTCTGATGACTGAAGTTTGTTCATAGTACCGGATGAGATCACGGACATGATGAGGAGTCCCGAAATGGTGAAGACATAAAGATTAATATATTGGACCATGTTATTCGGACACCGGAAGTGTTCCGGATAGTTTCGGGTAAAAACGGAGTGCCGGAGGGGTTACCGGAACCCCCCGGGGGAACTAATGGGCCAACATGGGCCTTATTGGAGAGAGAGAGGGCCGCCAGGGCAGGCCGTGCCCCCCCATTAGCAGTTTGAATTGGACAAGGGAAGGGGGGCGCCGCCCCCTTTCCTACTCCCTCTCCCTCTCCTTCCTTCCTCTCTCTCCCTTTTGGTGGAATCCTACTAGGACTAGGAGTCCTAGTAGGACTCCCCTCTTGGGAGTGCCCTAGGGGCCGGCCGGCCCTCCCCTCCTCCCTCTATATACATGGGGATGGGGGCACCCTAGGACAGACAAGTTGATCTTTTAGCCGTGTGCGGTGCCCCCCTCCACAGTTACACACCTCGGTCATATCGTCGTAGTGCTTAGGCGAAGCCCTGCGCCGGTAACATCACATCACCGTCGCCATGCCGTCGTGTTGACGAAACTCTCAATCGGCCTCAACTGGATCAAGAGTACGAGGAAGTCATCGAGCTGACGTGTGCTGAACACGGAGGTGTGATACGTCTCCGTCGTATCTATAATTTTTGATTGTTCCATGCCAATATTCTACAACTTTCATATACTTTTGGCAACTTTTAATACTATTTTTGGGACTAACATATTGATCCAGTGCCCAGTGCCAGTTCCTGTTTGTTGCATGTTTTTTATTTCGAAGAAAATCCATATCAAACGGAGTCCAAACGGGATAAAAACTGACGAAGATTTTTTTTGGAATATATGTGATTTTGGGAAGAAGAATCAACGCGAGACGATGCCCGAGGGGGCCACGAGGCAGTGGGCGCGCCCCTGACCCTCATGGACACCCCTTAAGGCAGTTGGATCCCTTCTTTCGCCGCAAGAAAGCTAATATCCGGATAGAAATCGTGTTCAGATTTCAATCCAATCGGAGTTACGGATCTCCGGGAATATAAGAAACGGTGAAAGGCCAGAATCTGGAACGCAGAAACAGAGAGAGACAGAGAGACAGATCCAATCTCGGAGGGGCTCTCGCTCCTCCCATGCCATGGAAGCCAAGGACCAGAGGAGAAACCCTTCTCCCATCTAGGGAGAAGGTCAAGGAAGAAGAAGAAGAAGAAGAAGGGGGCTCTCTCCCCCTCTCTCCCGGTGGCGCCGGAACGCCGCCGGGCCATCATCGTGCGACGGCGATCTACACCAACACCTCC